CAGTGTTATGAAAAAAAGGGTTCTTGGTGTAATGGCTGATGAATCGCTTAAGCCATCCACGCAATATGCTGTTGGTAGTGATAGGGCAAATAGGATTTTAGGTTGTATCTACAGAAATATTGAATACAAGTCTAAAGAGGTTATAATTTCATTGTATAAATCACTGGTTAGGCCACATTTGGAGTACTGTCTTCAGTCTTAGGCACCTTACCTTAAGAAGGACATTGAATTGTTGGAAATGGTTCAGAGGTGGGTTACTAGAATGGTGCCTGGGATGGAGGAGTTCTCCTATGAGGAGAGATTAAGCTTTCTCAAATTGTTTTCTCTTGAAAAAAGAAGAGTTAGTGGGGATCTGATTGAGGTGTTTAAGATTGTAAAGGGAGCTGATAGTGTTGATGCATCATCTCATTTCATATTTAACACTGAGAATAGTAGGATTAGGGGACACAAATATAAATTTTGGCAAGATAGGAGTCATCTTAAGCTAAGACACTTTTAGTTTTCTAACAGGATGGTTAGCCTCTGGAAGGGGTTGCCTTTGAATGTTGTGGAAGGCAGTAAATTTAAGTAAGTTTAAGAGAAAGCTTGATAACTATATGAATGATAAGGGCTGGTTTTAAAATTTTTTTTATTTACTTATTTAATAGTGTTAGTTTAGTTTAGAGGATGGGACAGCCGAGTTGGATCAATAGGTCCCTTATTGTCCCTAAACATTATGTTATGTTAAAGAATACTTGTGACAATGCCTATTGTTATATAAGCTTGTATTAATTTGAATTTGATCCTATGTTTGTGTAAGCCACACATGTTGGGAGCAAGCCTCTCTCAAGGGATGGAACAAATACTTCTACAAGTTGATATATGTTGGGGGGAGGTTCTGTTTCTTGAATATATATATAATTTAGAATGGTCATTTATGTATGTAATTATGAATCACAGGATACCACCCTGAGGCTTCTTTGACTTTTGGCATAGCACTGTGTTTGATTCATTCGAACACTGGTAATCCTAACCTGTATTTTGCAGAAACGTTAAAATATCTATCAGACGGTATACCTGAATACCATGTGAGACTAGTTATAAATTAAAATTTTGATGGCATGACCAAAATGATTTATTATTACTATTGAGTTTATTTTGAATGTGCTATTTTCCCTTGTGACTCTTCTACTGAGACAACTTCCAAAGTATGACAGAAATCAACTATTAGCTTATTAACCCCTATTCAACAGACGCTGCAAGCCATAGTGCTGAAGCATCCATGGTTTCTTACGAAGCAATAGGACTACCCAGACCCAATTGCCATTACTGGATTACAAATGCTGCCAGAATTGGAATCTCAAAGAGTAGTCAATTGTAATTTATCTGTTTACTCTTTTATTAATGTCCATGCCCCATATTCTGTTGTTAGAAAGAAACATTAGATGAAAGTACCATTCAGACTTACAGTGCATCATAGGCAGGAAGGCCAGTGATGAGCTATGGGTACAGCTTCTGTCGATAATTTAAACTACTAGGTCTTAAGTGGGATATGATCATCAACTTGGAAAAGTGCAGTCACTTGCAGTGTTATGGAGCATGATCCAGAGTACTCTGGACTGTGCATCACATTGTATTTAAAGATAATCGTACATGGATGAGAAGTTGTTCTCAGTGGATAACAGCAACTAAAACAATACTCGACCTTGCTTCAGTCGCTACATGGTGCATCTCTAACTTTGTCTAAGCATCAGCACGTGCAGAATAAAGGTAGTTTCTGATCTGGATTCAGGCGATGTACTGGTATCTCAGGGATAGATCTACTGCAGAAATTGTCAGCTAATTTTACTCGAGCAACAGACAAACTGTGGTTCTGCATGAAAGCCATTCAAGATAGACCATTCTAAATCAAAAATAACGAGCGTGTGTGCATGCACATTGAAAAAAAAAGTGTTTTCATCTGTTGTAGTGACAGAACCAATTCATAAAACTTCCGTCTGGAAAGTAGACCGAAATCACTTAAAACGTGATCTGTCTGAATGCAGGCATTGTGCTAGTGCTAGTCTGTGACTACAAACACTTGACTATTCGACTTCCAATTGGTGTGGTTATAGTTACAGTAACAGAGGTAGAAGTGACACACACTAGCCATGTAGATAGAATGACAATTAAGTACGTCAAGGATGCAAGTATAAAATTGAAATTTAGAAAATTTACATGGAAGAGGAAATTTTTTGTGACGTAGTTGATCTTGAAATGATCATTACAGTCAATGACCGAATCTACATTCTCGTAAGAAGGAAATTCATAACTTTCTATGTTTTGCCTCGTTATCAGTGGTTTGTGGTCAATTTTCCAAAATATTCTCACCACTGTCTGTACTTAAGGTTGATATGTGGAAATTGGAATGTAAAGATGCATTACAGTCCTTGATCATATCTTATGTGAAGCACCAATTGGTTTATATTCAAAATGATCAATTCATCCTGGTTAAAGATGCCAGTGATTTTGGATTAGGTGCAGTTTTTTCACAAATATAAAAGGCATGAATTGATTAATCGTGTATGCAACTCTAATTACTCCCGTATGTTGATTTTATATGACAAAAAAATAACCCAAAACTCCAACAAGGGAACTAGTGTAATAAAGTTTAGAATTAAAAATAGGACCAACATTTAAAATGACAATAAAAATGTTATTTAACCTACGGTTAAAATTAAAACACTGATGTTTCAGTAGCTTTATGCAATTCATGATGGTAGCTTTATAAAACAAGTTTTAATTTTGGTTATAGGTCAAATAATATTTATTGTGTATATTAAATGTTGGTCCTATTTTTAAAGAAAGAATTGTTTTCACTTTTAGTATTTATTAAATTTTATTTTCACTCCACTTATGGCAAGGTGTTACCATTTGGGTAGGCCATACATCATGGCCAGGGGTTTGGCTAAGATAACCATTTATGTGTTGTTCCATATTGAACTATATGGATTACGCATCCACTAGTGTTTGGAACAAACATATTCGTGTCATAGTGGCAAATGCATTTGCCATGAATGACATAAGACATAGAATGTGTGCTACATCTTTATTTTACATGTAGAATCCCTTTTTCAAAGAAAGTGTTGAGTTGTGGCTTAATAGGTCGTGAAGTTTAACTTTGCATTGCTAGTTGAATATCTGACCTATTATAGATTAAGTTGACTTGGAGTTTAATGTATGTCTTTTATGTGTGTGTGATAGCTGATCTTGCTGAAGCTATGAAAGAGGATCCTTAACAACTAATGAGGAAACCTGCAGTAAAAACAGCTTTGGGCTTGCAAGAGAGAAAGTGCCCTAGCCTCCTTTCAGTTTAAGTGCCATAAGCTACCATTGTGAGTCAGTTATATTGGATAACCTTGAACTTAGGCCTGCAATTTCTTCATGAGACAAATATTAAAAACCGTTGGCTTTCTTGCCCACTCATTGGCTGCAGCTCCAGCACCATAATTTGAGGATATGTGCTCAGTCACTTTAAGAACATCCACAAAGTTCACGATATTGATATATTGTTCTCACATCCTCTAATGGCCACAAAGGAACAGGAGGAGGAATGCAAAAACAGCAATGACACCAACATTCCAATAAACCATTGTAGCATTCATCTTGATAGAATTACCCTCAATAGCTCTAAAGACAGTGGAATACTGGTACCATTATTATTAGGCCCACACAGCGGAATGGACGGATGTTTATAAATTATGTTTAATTTTATAATTTTTTGTTGTTGTGACGAAGTGCATTTTCAGATTTAGTTTTTTTTTTAAGAGCGACTACATTCTATGTTTTGCATGTCAAATGGTGATTTGATTGACTTTTCTTTCAATATATATGCTTTTCGATTTTGGTTTGTATTTTGTAGTTAGTTTTGATGCATTTGAAATTGTTGTTTCTTTATGTTTTACTTTTGTTTGTAAATTCTTAATATACTTAATTTTCTAATGTAACAGGCTGGAAGTGTAACTTCCCAGTGAACTTAACTTTAAGTTTTTTGTTCTACAATTATGCTTAACCTTTTAGTGTTGTAAATATATGTTGGTGTATCTGCGTTTTGCTTATTTCGGGTTTTGATTTCAGACTTTAAGCTTTATTTTAACTCAAGTTAGAATTTACATTGCAGCTTTAATTCGCCTTTTTTAAATTATGATTTTACCCTTGTTTAATTTGATTTACGTTATATTTTTATTTAAAAATTATGATTTTGTTGTACTCCATTTTCATTATTTCGAATTATTATAAATTAAAATAAATAAATTAAAAATAAAGTTAGATTATTTTTAGTTGTATTTTACTTTTACTTTACTAGTTGGTATTTTTGTGTAACTTTCTATTATCTTTGTGTAAGTGTTATGACATTTTGCATGACATTTAAGTGAGACAAATCCTACATCTTATGATATATAGGTAGCCTACCATTCAGTCATTAGTTGAATGTTAATGTTCGGATCTGGGAAGACCCTGGGATAAGGAAGGAGGGAGGGGGTTGTCATACTTTAAATACCTGATAATCTAATCATTTCATAACTGTTTTAGCATATATAAAATTTAGCAGAATATCCAGACAATATTTTTTCAATTTTCCTGCGGGTGTTCTGCATGTAATTAATGACATCATGGCAAACTGTAAATGTTGGGTAAAAAACTAATATATACTCCTATAGATTTAATTAATACAGTTGGTGAAAATCCTTTACAAATCTTTGCTGTTAGATTTGCAAATTTTATAAGAACTTGTGTTGTTTGCAGAGAGCATTTGCCTGTGAAGTAATAGAAAAGAAGCCACCATTTGTTTACGATCGTCACGTCTATTTCACAGATTTTACCAAGTAAGTTTAGGCCATCATTAATATCTTATAGATTAATTTTTTGAAACAAAATGACATTAAGTAAGAAAGGGCATATTATAATACCATCCAAGTTAAAAATTCACGCATTTTGAACTTAGCCGAAATAAAGTTCAGTATTTTGTGTGTGTGTGTGTATTTTGTGTACTTGTTCTAATGTCAGCATACAAACATTCAAATTCATAGCTTATTGGCTTGTAAGAGGACCACCTAGATTGAATGTATGTAGACGGTACTAGGAGAACGTACAGCACACATTAATTAGCGATTGGTCTCACTGCTTTCCTGAAAAATGGAAATAGCTACTTCATTATTTATTATTTTCTTACTATGTTGCATGTAAAAAAAAAAAAAAGTAATGCAATATGTTCCTGAATATTAATGTAAAAAAAATCGTGTATAGTACACTAATCTTACACCTTTAAATCTTATTTTATATTAACCTGCGAATTTGGAATGGCAGAAGCTAAATATCCAACAGTTGAAAAGTGTATCCTGAATGGTTCTACGAAGTTTGGTGAATAGATGATACATCTAAAGACAGTGTAATAGGTGCTATTAATGTCCATAACTGCTGAACAAGGGAGCGCAGACACAATTTTATATAAACTAACAAGCTCATACATCTTTACTGATGTATTTATATTTATACAGCAATGCACAGAGAAACTAGTTAATTAATAACAAAGTTCGTAAGAATTACCCATCTCTTCCTTCTAGTTGAGATCAATGCGAACAGATTTGACATTCTGAAGTGTATCAACTGCTTCTGGTGCTGTGCCCAAAATTCTTTCAAATTGGATTGTGTTACAAGTGACACGGAATTCCTATTTTTTATATTCCACTAAAGGCAAATTAAACAATTAACTTTGGACCTACTGCACTGAGACATTTGCTAAAGGGTGAACTCTATCCTGCTTTAAGGGTATCAACCAATTAGAGGTGCTGATATTGCAGGAAAACAATTCCATTGGACGTTAGTAATCTCTCAGAGCTCTTACTTACTGGAGGCATATCTACCATTTTTATTACTAGCAGAATCGACGCACTACGGGCCGTTGTTTGTGCTAGTTCCTGCGGATGGCGTTGATGTGCTGCTGTATTTCGGGATTGTTCCTGTCTTCTTCTCACCGGATCTTACGTCATAACTTGGTGAACAAGCCTATCTCTTTCTTACTCTTTCTTCCTGTAACTTGCGTTTCATTTTCTTTCTCAAAGTTTCAGACTTTCTCCGTGACAAGCCACTTTTCCGTTTGCTAATCTTTGGTATTGTGATTTTCGATGGTTTTGATCACTTTATACTTATACTGAAGTAAAGAAACACTTGTGTAACTCACGACGATAGTGTTAATACAAAATTCCTGCAAATTTGTATGTAACGAACTCCGTACCACGGACTTCCTTCGGGTTACAGAACAATTCAATTCAAAGCGTACGCTTGGATTCTTCAGCAGAAAAAGACTTTTCTTCTGAAATATTACAACCATTCTCCAATAGGAAGACTCAGTTTTATATTCTACATTAAATTCACTTCACCACAATTTTAGAATTTTTATTAAAAAATTGATTTCGTTGATAATAATAAATGTAAAAAAATTAATGTACATCTTACAATAATGCGGTATATATATATATATATATATACGTGACCCAAATAATATATGCAATGGTGCCATCTGTTGTGCTGAAATATAACAAGATCTCAATGCCAGAAGCGGTGACTGAGGCTTATGAAATGTTTCACCATCTATTAAATGGAACAACAAATAAAAAATCATTAAAAAAACACACTTTGGGTATTCAAGATTTAGACAATTAAAAAATAACTATGGCATATGCAACAACCATTTCTTTATAATAGAACACAATTTAAATAAAAGTACTCTCCTCACAACAAGAACATGACTTTCACTAGGACTATACGTAAGGGTATGATTACATCTTTATTGATTTAATTTGTAAATATAGTACTAAAAATGAAGTTATTAAAAAACTGTTATTTTTTCAATAAGGAGTACCACTTTTAATATATAAAAACATTACAGTTTATATCAGTAACATTTATGAAAATTATGAGCTCTGTACATTAAAAAATTTTGATGCAATGAGTCACGTATGACTAGAGAGCACAATCCGAACACTTTTCCTGTACAGTACTTTCCAGACAAAAAAATACTGTTTTTTATTTTTTACAAATTCTTACAATGAAGTACGAATACTACGGTTATTGATGACTAGCATAAACAGTTTTAAAAAAAGAAAGAAATACCATTTCTCCATTAAGGAAGCGATTTAGGAATTTTTTTTTATAAAACATGGTCCATTTTTTATTTTTTATTTTAGCGAGGGTCTATTTTATAACATTTTTCATTTTGGTGTGATATAAAACTGTTTATTGACTTATTTCTTATAAACGGACACATGCACTAAATAAACTAAATAAAATCGTGAGAAATGGGAGGAGTTTTGCGGACAGACGGACATTAGCATCTTGTATATATAATAATGTAACGTATTCGCGTTAAAACAGAAACATTTCCACTAGCCTGCCTGAATTTTTATATATTTCTGATAACTAATTGAAATTTGATTTTAAAATACTAAGACTTATCTTTATAAATAAATAGGAAAACGGAAAAAAATAAAACGTGGCTTTAAAATTTGTAGTTTTACTTTATATAGTTTCTGGATAGCCACAATGACTGGACAATTTAAGAATCTTCTAGTTTCCACATCCACAATGGTCATCACGATCAAGTGATGGAACCAAGAGTACAATTGAATTAGATTATTTTTTGTACTTTCATAAATATTATACGTTTAAACGTGTACAAAGTGTTTTTTTTATCATTAGGTATTGAAAATCATTAATCCTTAGAGCTCCATTTTGTATTGATGAATATTGGAAATATGTCTGTAATGAGATTGTGTACTTTACTCTCATAATCGTTATAAGTTTCAGTTTTTTGTGTGTATCAAATTTTTTTTACATCTGTATTTATGTTATATGTTTTTTTTGTTCTGGTTTAACATCCTTAATTTATAACTTAAGTTTACTTTTCAACCATATGATCAGAATTAAAAACGTATCAGAAAGTAGTAATAACATTTTACTTGCTGAAATCTATTTTCTTTTCTTTGAATCGATAATAATAATAGTGTTGATAAAACAACTTTGTTTCAGTACATAAGCTGAATACAAAAATATGGCAACAACGCGACATACGTTACTCATGCAGTAGTGATACCATCTTTCAAACCTTACAATCTGACTAAAGTACTTAACACTAAGGTCTTATAAATTGAACCTGTTACATATTATTCGGTATTTATCTAGTAAATGTTTTTAATGTCTTTCTTTCAGGTAGAAAATATATATTGATTTGTTACCCGGGCCTTATCTTTGTTAGCATACGATTAAGTTTAAATCCTTAACCTTGTACAGGGAATAAGACAATTGAAAGAAATATATTGGTAAAATCACAAATACTATTAGTAGCTTATGAAAAAATAATGAAAGATGCAGTATTCAAATATTTGTCGCATTACAACTTTTGTTCTACAAACAATTAGATACGTAAAAAATACTAGGAACTACAATCACGCACTTGACATATGTCCTGACGAACTTAGATATACCAACAGTTGATGAATCAATTACAAAAAGTTTTCAAAATGTCATAAACACGCATTATATATACTCCATTTATCTTCCAAAAGTGGTTTTACTTCATTACTTTTTTGTACGTTTTAACGTTTGACTTTTCTATCCAGATTTACGTATTCTAACCCTCTGTATATCAACAATATACGGGACCCTGTGGAAAAGATTATCTCTCGATTTTACTACTGGCGAACATCTAGTGTACACGTTTTCGAACAGCTAAGGTCGGCGACTAAAGTGAATATCAGTTCTTAAAATACAGAGATCGAACCTATGCTATTACAGACTATTATTGAGGAGCTTGTTTTCATACCTTTTTCACCCATTGAATTTTTTTCAATGGGTGAAAAAGGTATGAAAACAAGCTCCTCATTAATAGTCTGTAATAGCATAGGTTCGATCTCTGTATTTTAAGTTATGAAAACTTGTGATTTAATATGTTTTAATATAATCTTCAGTTACGTAGAATACCTTTTTTTTTTTTTGCAACTAGTGTACTATTTTTACCTACGTTTCACCTAGGTACTTAAACACAATATCTAACATTGACTAGTTACGATAGCAAGTTCCAAGATGCCGCTAAACACAATCCGAATTTCAGTTGTGAGCACTTTATAAGAGTGACAGTTAATGCCAATGTTCAGTTTCAGGAGTTGTACAAAGTCTGTGTGGCGGCAGTTGCTGCTAACTGGCAGTCCTCCCTTTGGTAGATAGCTTAAAATTAGAAAAGTAATAAATAAAAAGCTAGAGACTACAAATAGAGTTGTTGGGAATTATCCATTCTTAGTCTGTTTGTTTTTGAATTTCGCGCAAAGCTACACGAGGGCTATCTGCACTAGCCATCCCTAATTTAGCAGTGTAAGACTAGAGGGAAGGCAGCTAGTCATCACCACCCACCGCCAACTCTTGGGCTACTCTTTTACCAATGAATAGTGGGATTGACCGTTACTTTATAACGCCCCCACGGATGAAAGGATTTCATTATAGCCAAACAGCGACATTATAATTTTACGATATTATTGTTTAACAGTTCTATGCATGTATAGATAAATATTTGGTTAAAACAATTTATATTTCAGTTCTAAACTAAAAGATGAACATCAAAAGACGAAAAAAGGCTTTAATTTTTATGTATTGAGTAAAAAAAAACAACTAATACACTTGACACCTTTATTTCGTAAGATGAGATATATTTTCTTTGCAGTGCGTAAAATATGTTTTCCAGAAATACATAAAAATGATGG